CTTCATCCACAACAAATTCTATACGCTGCACAAACTGATACGGTATGTTTTAAAAATCATTAGAATAAGAGTACTTGCAATTTAGAGAACCTTTCATTTCATAAATGAAGACGAATTGAAGACGTGCTTTAATGAGGACCTTGCGTTTCACAAGTTAGCATATATTTACACTCGTTTAAACTAAAATCATGAGTAATTTAATCCTGACTTACAACAATTAAAAGTAAAACGTGTTGCATCAGTTTTTCTTCTTCTGTGCTTTACGGGATATAAGTTATTTTTTCCCCAACGGAAATCCAGCTCAGGTGTTGAAGCCCATTTTGAAATATTAGTACATTGTAATATACGTTTCGGAGAGGTAAGGCGTGTCTTTTTCCGCAATGACTGATTTATGGCAAAAAAAACAGCTCATGAAAAATCGAACTTTTTTGTTGTAAGTTAATGATTTTATATGTATGACTTAGCTGAGTGAAAATTTTGTAGATAGCTTGCGAATATTTATCATTGGATGTTATGGACAGGTGGATAATATGTAAGTGCCGTATTGTAACTTTGCATTTTATTTGAAGCAGTTATCATCAACGGTGTCGATTACCATTTGATGAAAACAGTAAGGTTTGAGGTGCCTCATTTCTTAGGCCTCATTTCATATTTTAATGCCCAGTGGTACACAGTTCTACCCTACTTTTTCATTCGAGTATTCATCAAGACCAGTCGATCTTATTCTAGAGTGGTCACTACTTAAAAAGGGGGAGGTGAAGTTAATGGAGTATTACAACAAGTTTCTGTTGGTTCCATCATCATTTATGCTGTATGTTTCTTTTCACCTAAGCAGTAGAGGTGACTGACGATTTCAGTGCAGCAAATCACCTTGTGATAATGTGATTGCACGCTTGACACTGTCGCGTATTAGAAGAAGCTACCATTACAGACTAGTGAGATTGTGTATGATTCAAGAGGCGACGGTTCTCACTGATTAAACTTATGGTCGAGATACATCATATTTCGGCTTTGTTTTATTGATCCGTCCCACACTATGACGAGGTGTCTAAATCAGATCTTTTAGAAATGCTGAGTTCAACTCCGGCGAGTAACACTCTTATTTTTTAATGAACTTTAGTTTGCAGACATTTAATTTGCAGTGGGTGTGCTTGTTTGTCATAACACACTTTTAAACGATTCCGTAATTGCTAATTTGTGGCAACGTGCTTTGCAAACGGGTCTCGCTATACGCCTTTTTAGGTTTGTTCAGTTTATTTGTTGCATTCTATTTGTACAAAAGCGTGTTTATAGTGTTCATAGGTGAGTCAATTAAAGGAAGGGATTGAGAGCTGTGGAATTTTTTGCCCTGCAGAGAGGTCCTGGAACTGATAAAAAGTTGTAAAATGCAATTTCCATTAGTTCAAATGTGACATTTGATGGTTATGACCATTCAGGGATGAAATTCTTATTGTTCATCAAACGGTGCAGAGTGTTTTTGAAAATGTGAAAAATTATGGTAAAAAGCTGCAGGAAGTGAAAGACCACTATTCAGTTGCATTGCAAACAAGGTATTTGCTTCATTAAACTTGGTTCATGTCTTACCACATTTGTATAAGGAATTCTGGTTCATATATTAAGCAAAGTAGGTATAGGAAAATACTTGTGTTTACTTATTGGTTCAGTTTTTTCCAGCCTCACCGTTCATCGTGATCGGCGTCGTTTTCTTCGAGGTACTTTACGCGAACTTTGTTTGCTTATCAGAGATCAAGTGGGTCTTCTTGGGCCAAAAATTTTGTTCGTTTGGATGGCTCTTTCGTTTTCGAGGGATGAAGTAGTGTGGCTTCTGCGACATATCGATATTTGGCCGGTAAGTGGTAACAAAAAGACGAAACATGCCGATGAAGTAGCAGACAAGTATGTCTTTCTTTAGTTTAATAAATTCGAGTGGAAAATTTTGTAATGTAATGAGTTTTTGTAGTTAAGTTTTCTGACGGAAATTTTTTATAGGAAATTTTTCATCCAATAAATTCGGCGGGTTTATTGTACCTGAAAATGTTTCGTCTTATAGTGATTCTTTTTTGAGACAATTACCCGAGCTGCTGTACTATATCTTGGAGTTGCGCTCTCTGGTACAACAACATGATGGAGTTATTAAGCGATACTATTCGCAGTATGTCACTGGCTACGATGCACTCATTTTGACTGATATTGTGCAGTCCATTGAAAATTTGGGCGAAAAAGAATCAGTGTTATTATCCGATTTTTGTGCTGATCTATCTCATATTAACCGTGAGTTGGTGATGATTAATTCTTTTCTTACTGTGTACAATTTTTTTTCGTCCTAATTTCTACACTTTGTTTTGATTCAAATCAATTACACCTTATTTGTTAAACAAGCTTCCATATTTTTGGTTGCATTCTGATGTATTTTTAGAGGATAGTATTGACTTGCGCTCTTTGCGTTTGGATTGGTTCCGTTTCCAAGCTTATGTCAGTATGAATCGGTCATCTTTTACTTTAAATACTGATCGCCGTTTAGCGGTTACAATGAATACTACTGTATTTCATTTGAAAATGATCGATCTTATAGATGAAATGCTCCGAGAAACAAGTGATTTATCGATTTATTGGTTGGTGTGATTTTTATTTGAAAAATTATCATATGAAATATCGGGAAATAAAGGGGCTCATTCGTAACTAGTGATAATGCAGCGTTCTGTTTTAATTGTCCTATGTGTGTTTAGTTAAGAAAACGAGTTTATCATAATGTAGTAGAAAAATAACAGATTTGTATACCATTCGTTTTTGCAGTTTCTATGCTCAACAGCTAGAAACACAACTGCATCAGTGCCTCCAGCTGCCATCTCAATCAAGGTACACTGTTTCCTTTGCCCATATATGCTCAAACTTTCGTTCTGCATTGCACGATCTTTGTCCGGAAGAAAAAGCACATATCATTGATCGGGTTTGTTAAATTGTTTTCATTGTTGCTCAATGTATTTGTTTTCATATTGTGGATCTTTTTAAACCAATCTTGGTAATAACTGGTTTCATTTATTTCAATAAACTTATGATTTTCATTTGTAGAGCTTAAAGTTATGTAACTTGGTTCTGGATGAGTTGGCGAAGGAAACGGCTTCTGTAACTGCTCGATTATGCGAATATGAGGTGCGTCTGACTGAGCAACTTTCACCAAACAATTGTGCAAGGCTGATTGAAGAGCATGATAAGCAGAAATGTAAGATATCATCATGTTTTTGGAATTCTCACAAGTTGCTACATTAATTGACAGAGTAAATATTTAACTTTGGTAAAGCGTTTTGTTTTATGGTGTTGCAATTATTCAGTCATAAGTTAGCCACAATATGCGATGCTATCGGGATATTTTGTAAAGTGTGTCTTTTTATTTCTGTTCGTCGGATATTGTCAGGTATTACTCGTCTTTCGAAGGAAGTCTACGGTTCCACTCCTCCAACTGTTTCTTTTGATTTACTTGTTAGTAAACGATCAGTCAAGCAAAAACTAAATCAGAAAATAAAGTATCATTAACAACTATTGGTACCTAGTTTTACATACAATGTTTTTATTTATTTATTTCATTTCTTTATTCGAATTCAACTTTGCTAATTGCTTTAGGATTTTAAAATATCAAAAGAAGTTTTCTTGCTTTGTCTGTGATACCTTGGATGACTGTTTTGCAGCGAATAAAATTTCGAATACGGCTCGTTCATTAGTTATGCCAGGCGAAGAAAGTTTCCGTTACAGTCGAGATACGTTAACATTGGCTGATAAGCTGCAGACGGCGCTTCATGAATTGTGCACAGCAGTTACTTCATCAAGGTAACGATTTATCCAAACCGTCAGATTTGTAAAAGTTCTATATATCATCTAGGGAGTTATATAAATTCTTCTTATTTTGAGGCAGGTGATCGTGTCGGATCACATATTTGCCCCACGTGAGTATCTGGCACAACAGCTGGAATCACAGCTTACGCAATCACTCCAAACGCTAATCTCATCATCTGAACATCCGATGAGACCATGTCAGCTTTTGGCTTCAATAAATGCTCACATGATTGTACTGCAAAATTTGGACACTATAGGTACTGCTCTTTGCCATTATTTTGTCAAGTTCATAATTTTTTTGAGAACTAGATAAACATTTTCAAGTGTGGAAAATCTCAATATTGTTCTTCGTATTAAGTCATATGATTTTAGATCTATAAATAACAATGAAGTTGAGATTAGAGTATGACTAGATTTCAGTAACATTGGATGTGACTCGTCTTTTCAACAGCGTGCTTTTACAACAAACACAGTACCAGGATTATCACGGCAATGACACGTTAACATCTATTTACACAAAGTGGTAAACGTTGGAAATTTATATATTAAAAAGTGGGATTGTTTTAGAGAGGAAAGAGAGAAGCTTCGTTTTAACGGTTGTCTAATTTAAATAGAGTATTTGTGTTTATACAACTCATTTAAAAGTCATAATGCATAATTTAGGTATCTTGAAGTCGTTCTTCGTCGGATGAGTACTGGGCAAATATTGTTTTCACCTCATTTCGCAGCTCTGATTGCAAACCCAGACTATCAGCATACGTTCAGCCCCGATCAATACACTGACAATCGTGGTAAAATTCTTGGATTTATAAACTTTCATATTGTTTTATAACATTTGTTATAATAGATTTTCTCCTGTAAAACTAACTAAGCATTTCTTAACAGTTTAAATGTAGGAAAAATGCATTACTTAAACGATATAGATTGAAAACATCGAGAACTCCGTGCAAGGCGAGAAGATAGAATATAATTGTCTGCCTTTTCTGTTCAGAGAGTATAGTCCATTATCAACGTGTCGAGTGAGTTGTAATTCAGAAATAGCCCTGGAATGATATAAAATCCGTTATCTTTTTCGTTGACACCTGAGTGGGAGTATAAAAAAGGGAAATGGCAATAACATATTCAATGTTATTAATTCATTTTAGAACTGAGAGCTTTGTCTCTACTTCTGGGACCATATGGTGTGAAAACCATGAGTGAGAAATTGATATGGCATGTAGCAAGTCAAATCACTGAATTGAATAAAATTGTTAACGATCATCGAGATGCTTTGGTCTTAGCTCGGAGTTGTTTTGACAAGCCGGAGAAAATGCGCGAATTGTTATTGCAGTTGAGTGGAGATATAAAAGATAAAAAACAAGTAGGGGCCTTGAAGTTTTTTTGTTTATTTGCGCATTGATTTCCATGTCTTTGCTGAGACTGATCTTCTTTAACAAAAATATGAAGAAAAACTTTATTACAATCAACTGTGGTATAGTAGTTGGCTTGGCTGATGTGTTTCGAACTGTACCAAATTATTCAACGAGTCTTATAAATTCTTTCGATCAGTATAGGCAAATTTGAAATTGTGGTAGTTTACATTGCTGATTAATCATAAGTTGTAATAGTTTGTATTGCTGATTAACCATAGATTAATAACTCTGTAATACAATTACAGATTCCGGTGAACGGACCCATGGAGTCGATACTACAGCGTGTAACAATTATCGGTGAAATCCTATCATTTCGTTCTCTTTTGCACGCTGCCCTGCATGATGTACTCAAACGTCGCTTGCCGTTTTTGTTATCGATTGTGAATGATTTACATGATACCGCCAGCGAACATAATTTATTGGTAATTTTACATAATTTATAGCGCAAATCACATTTGAAGAGGACGTGTATTTCGGGTATAACTGAGAGTAATAATGTTTCACGAAATGCATGCTCTAAGCGCCCGCAGATTTCCTAGTGTTAAAATATTGAAGATTTTACACACGGTACATGTATATAAAAATGAAAATATGGTGAACATTTGGTAATCGACATACAATTCCATCATATTATGTCATATTTCTGTGCAGGAAATGTGAATAGAATTTGACTTTCTCACATCACTGTGGACATCGTAATTTAAAGCTTTATGCACAGGTATCTTACCATCAATGTCATTCCATATTTTTTCTGTTACATAACATTGTTATTAATAGAACGGAAGCGATTTAAAAGCTTGTTTCGATCTTTTATATTTGAGATCTTCCAGATGCTATCAGAACTTTGCATGGCTGTTGGCATCAATACGGATGTGGATGTTGCCTTAGTCCATGCTATTCGAGCTCAGACGAAACAAACAGAACCCGATGAACACTACACTTTATCATGTCTGCTACTTGTTTTCATTGCACTTTCGTTACCTCGACTTGCTCTGACACAAAATAGTCAATACAGCGCCTCGCTGCTAGGTTCCATTTTTATTTTGAATTTAAAATTAGGAATTTACTGCAAATCAGTACAGCTTTCAACAGACGAAAATTTTTCGATGATTTATCAAATTTGAATCCTCAGCGATTGTCAGGTTATAAATATTTTGTCTTATTAAATATTTGTACTTGCAAAAGGTTATTTTAGAAATTGCATGAGCTTTTATGCATCGTTTTTCGCTCTTAATTTATTTGCAGCCTCTAAAAACAATTTGCAATGTATAGCTCTGGCAGTGTCAACGATTGCAAATGCATTATTTTGTTTACATGGCCGTAACGATATTATTGAAAGAATGAAAGAATTTCTGGCAGTAATTTTTAATTTTCTTTTGAAAATTCCATATCGGTTTATTGGATCTTTTTGTTTTTTCCCTGGCACAGCAACATAATATTATTAATCGTTTTTTTTTCTTCAGCTTGCATCGAATGGTCTTCTGAGAACGTCAGAGGATAGTAACGACGTGGACACGACAAGGTCACGACAGTTTGTTTATGTTATACTTGATCAGGTAAAACATTTTAAGAAAGTTCTCGTAGCTGCAAAGCACCTAGTTCATTCTATATTGGTATTTTATTTTTAAACTGTTTCCTTTAGAAGAATATGTCCGTATGACTTAATTTAAATCATCATTCCGAGGTATCATTTTTCAGATTATTTCCCTCATTCGTATGTAGACTTGTTGTGCCCTAACTTCTATGCCATTATACATTTTCATCATATAGTGGTGTTTAAGACGCAAGTAAATCGGTGTTATTGGGTTCGAATTTTTTTTTTTTTCTCATTTATATATTTTTTTTTCAGTTAGTGAAGCTTAGTCCATTTTTATCGTTTGATCTTCTGGAGTCTTGTTTCCCGTATAATCTTATCCGGTCTTCATATCAATATTGCTATCAACTGGAGGAACTGAAATGAAACTTTTCAGATGTTATCTTTGGGTAGAGATAATTTATTTATTTTTTCTTGGCACTTTAATCCATCTCTGCCTCGTTTTCTTAGTTTATAGATTTATACTTTATTTGGCTAAGAGACATCACCTTTTTTACTTCTGTTTCCTTTTTTTTATAGATTATGAAAAGCCTTAGTTGTTGATTGTTGGATGTTCGATTTAAAAAGAAAATATCAGAGCTTTTCTTCTGTGGTTCTCAAATAATGCATTTTACAATATTCTGTTTTGTTTGGCTGCCAAAACGGTAGTACTTTGTCGTTATGCCATTCACTACTTCTGCCCTTATATTATGACTTATATTTGGCCGATTCTATCTGACCACTGTTTGGTAGTAGTTGATAGATTTTTAGGCTCACAGTTCCTGAATTGCTCTGTTCCCAGTCCTTAAAAAGATGTAGAATGGTAAAAATTATTTTGTGAAAAACAAATCCCTCCAAAAATAAAAATGCAGCTTGTAAGGTTAAAATTTCTATGAAATCTCCTTCCTTAATATACTTAGTTATCATTCAGCAACAGAAATGATGGTTTTGGTTTTCTTGTCACTCACATTTTATTTTGGTCAACATATGCGATGCGATATGATTTCACTGCTTTACTGTCTATGTAACCGTGTCATTTTTTTAAAATGTAACTACTGTCTTGATCGTTTCTACTGTACTGTAATGTAGTATCGTTTAAACTGAATCGTTTCCCCTTAATCCAATCCTCTGATTTGTAAAATAAACCAATTACTTTCAAACTGTTGGATTTGTTGATTTTACTCCGTAATTTAACAACGGCTTTGCATCACACATAGTGTATAACACACATGCCAGTCTGGCTTTCCAAGAATAAATTTCCTCATTCCTGGGTCACTATTTTATAACAGGATGCAGCACCACAGTAACTGCGCTCGACAGCTGTATTACCTTGGTGTTTTGGATAGATCGATGGGTGCTGATTTTGCTTGCTCTGGGAGAAGTTCAGCTGAGCAACGTTCTAGCGAGGAACGGTTGATCGATGTCATCGAAAGTGCTCAACAATGGGGCAAATTACCGAGTGATTGGTCGAAATGTGAACTTGTTTCTGTTGATGTCACGAAACATGGTTTGAAGGTATTTAGAATTTGTATTTAGGAGATTATATCCACTGTCCAAAATATGAAGTTCGGGTGAGTGTGATTTAGTTTTTCTGTGTTCAGGTCGTCCTGCACCTTCCCAAGATTTGATACATATGCTAAGATTTTCTGTTGAATTTCAAAATACAATCGTTTTTTGAGACCTCTTACCGTTCACGGGATCCTAAATCAACCTTCCTTAGTTACTTGATCCGTAACTTCCATTTCCTTTTTTTTTTCAGTTAACGGATGCATCCAACGGGATGGTTCTGGATCGAATAGCATTGTTCCACATTGTGCAGTGTGTTTCATATGAAAATGGTTTCGGTCGTTTTTGCGTGGTTTTTTTGGTACAAAAACCATTAAATAAGAGTATGCAGTGTTACGTGTTTCAGACTAGCAACGTCACTGATGCCGACGATGTTTGTAAGCAGTTGGGAGAGGTATTTAATGCTGCCGTTAAGTGATAAAGCAATAAATACGTTAGTGATATACGTGATATAGCATTACATGAGCTTTGTGAATTTCTTTCCATAATATGTAACCATTGAAGCACTCCTTTTTATATATTCTGATGTATATAGTTCTCAGATTTCTTATGAAAATATCCGGTTCATTGGGATGACGATATCATCACCGTTATAAAGAGATGTACAAGATAATGAATGGGCAACATAACTTCAATGTGTTCACAGCGAATGGAAAACAGGTGAACAGGAAGAATGCAAAAGCGCTTGTTGAGACTGTAGAATTGTTAGATTTCGGTGGCGTTGCACTCGGATTATGGATACGTATGTCGAAAAAGCTAGTCTGTCGAACCCGTTTCTTAGCGGTACAGACTTTTTCGGGATGTAATATTGTCCTTGCACAATATTACTAGTTAACGACAAAAAAAAAGAATGTAGACAATATATATATATATACATATATATATATATATATTGCATGATAAATTGGTAAGCAGTGATAAATGAGTTATACAAAAGCAAACAATACGATTAACTAACAAATTCCTTATCGTTGCCTTCGATAATGAATTTACTGTCGACTCGTTGATAGTTCGTTGAGTTGGGGATATGTTACGGGAGATGTATTTAGCAAATAGCAAGAATATCGTAGTTTGTTGTCGATTGGTGGCGGATCTGGGAAGATGTCGTTGAAGTTCAGTCGTGGAGAAGAAGCGTGAAGGATGCGTCGTCTGCTCGACTATAAAAACACTCTATTCGTCTTTCTATATATATATATATATATATATATATATATTGGGAGGAGTTTGTAAGCTCCATCGAAGTTATCATGGAGGTATCGCTAGCCTTTGGCATTATTCATTGTGTAGTACAGTGATATCTTTGTGTTAACTTATATCCTCTTCACCACTTTAATTTTGCAAGATTTCGTCACCCTGTCTGCTGGATATTGTGGCAATTTTATTTGATCATAGCTTTAATCTCGGTAATCCGACAACGTAGATTAATTCTTATTGCTGACTGCAGCGTCGCAATTTTGTGTTTGCCTTTGCTTCATTTCTTATTGCTATACGTTCCGTAATAATAGTCTACTATTTTTTCAATTTGTGCAAATTTCGCATAAGAATTGACCGGTGCAACTCAATTTATTTAAGTCTGAAATTTACAGTTCGAAAAGGGAACAAAGCGATGATGTGGGTCTTTTTGGAGGATTGAGATCCTGCATTTTAGGGAGTCTGTTGGTTTAACCTATCAATATCTGTTTTTGAACTACCACTGAAATAGAGGAATTGATGATGCATTGCCTCGGTCGCTGTACAGATACTCTGCTTTGCGCGCTTTATCCACACTGCTTTATGGAAGCTTCTACATATTCGTGCCAGTGATATATATATATATATATATATATATATATATATATATATATATATATATAATAANACACTATACTTACTTACTT